TCCCGGTTCAGGTAGGGACGCAACTGGTGCACTAGGCGAACCTGGGCAAATGCCCCCCTGGTCACAGCCGACAAGTGGTGTTCGAAAGTCAGCTGGAGGAGGACTCCCAAATTGCGAACCCTGTCTGAGGGGTGTACTGTTTGACCCCACAGCCTGAGAGATGGAACACTTGGCCAAGTGAAATCAATATCGGTTAATATAAATGGACCAAATTCACCTATAAAAAGAAGACAAACAATTTCTAAGCTCCAAAAACAAAACATGGACATCACACGTCTACAGGAAGTTCATATTAAAAAAGGAAATGGTAGCATTTTGGAATCTCGAAAGTTAGGGAAATTACATCTGGCCCTGGCCGATAGAAAGAAAAGAGGAATTGCAGTATATATATAAAGGACTGGCAAAAACCTAAACAGGTATACGCAGACAAAGAGGGAAGAACATTATTAATTGAAGTATCAATAAAACAAAAAAATAGAGTACTAACTGCCATCATATATGCACCAAACATGAACCAGAAAGTAACACTACAGTAAACTACATAAGCAGAACTGGAACTGGACAACTTATATCTATTAGGGGACTCCAATGCGGTGGTAGATCCAAAGAAAGACTATAAAGGGGATAATTAAAAAAAATTATGAAAGGAGAACACTACCAAATGCATTCTTTGAAATGGCCTGAGAATTAAATCTAAAAGATGTCTGGGAGAAATCAACCCACAGAAGAGTCAACACACATTCTTTTCAAACCCGCATAATTCATGGTCCAGGATTGACATGGTGTGGATGGATCCAGAAATGGAGAAGGATGTAGTGGAGGTAGAATTAACACCGAATATGTGGGCCGACTATAACCCATTAACTATCAAATGGAAAGGAGAAGCAAAAAAGGAAGATGGACCATGTATCAGAGGGTTGTGAAAGAAAAGAACTATGTACAATATGTGGAAAAAGAATTAAAGGAAAACTGGAACAAACAGAGAACCATTCAAAACCTATGGGACACAACCAAGGCCTGTGTGCGAGGCATTAGGATAGCATATACAATAAGAAGAAACAAAGATAAAAAGAAACGGTATACAGAGCTCCAGGAGAAACGGGGGAAATTAGAATATAAAATCCAGAAAGGACCTCAAAAAACCAGGAAGAAAAAGAAATAATTAAACATAGATTAAATTTAATTACACAAGAAGAAGTGGCCCAGAAAATTAGATCAAGTAGGCAAAATTATTTCAAAAATGCCAACAAACCGGGAAGATGGCTAGCCTATAAACTAAAAAAAGAAAAAGAAAACAAATTAATACAGCAACTAGAGGATGAAGAAGGGGTGATAAACTACCAAAAGGAAGAGAAAAAAAGCATAGCAGTAAAATACTTTCAAGCACTGTATAGCCGAGAGAAAATAGAAGAGGAGGATATTAAAAGATACCTACAGAAGAGAAATCTTCCAACCTTACAAAGGAAAGCAACAAAGGAAACGCTAAATAAGGGAATAACGAGGCTAGAATTATAAAGGGCAATCCAAAAACAAAAAAATAACAAACCCCCGGGCCCGGATGGA